GCCGCAGCGCCTTCCCGGGACCCCCTTCCGGCCCCCCCTGTCTCCCCCGTCCCTGGCACCCCCATCTCCCTGTTCCCCTGGGACCCCAGCCCCAGCACCCCCACCCCCTAATCCCTGGAACTCCCACGCCCTGGGACCCACGATCCCCCACAACACCGGTTCCCCTTGGACCCATACCCCCACGGACCCAGCCCACCCGCCAGAGCCCACATCCCTCTGGGACCTGCATCCCTCCCTGCAACCCAGCACCTTGCATCCCCTTGGGACCTGCATCCCTCCCTGCAACCCAGCACCTTGCATCCCCTTGGGACCTGCATCCCTCCCTGCAACCCAGCACCTTGCATCCCCCTGGGACCTGCATCCCTCCCTGCAACCCAGCACCTTGCATCCCCCTGGGACCTGCATCCCTCGGGAACCCCCAGCACCCTGCCGCCTGGCACCCCTCACTGCCTGACCCCTGAAGCCTCAGGACCCACGTGCTTTTTTGCCCTCTTCCCACACATCCCAGGGAGGGCAGGGTGGGGATGTTGCCTTGGCTCACCCTTGCAGGGGAAAAGATTGCCTCAGATCAGGCCAGCTGGTATCGGTGGGAAAAAGCAGACACACAATGGGACACCGAAGCCTTTTATTTTCACACCGTTGGTGAACTGAATCTAGTTTTCCAGGTGTACTTGTCTGCTTAATAAATAATAAACGCTTTACCTGCAGCCTGTACCTTACCTGCGTTCATGTACCATCCTGTCAAAATACTTGCTGTGCCCAACAGGGAGATTTGGGTGGGCTTTGCTGTAGTGGTTGGTGGGAGGGAGAAGCAGAGAGGCTGTAGAGATGGGATTTCCCTCGGTTTTCCTTGCCTCATCAAGGTGCCAGCAGAGATTTTGGATCCTAAGTCATTTCTGTGAAAAAATCAACTTCTTGCTAACATTTCCTGGAGCCTTCTGGGGATCCTGGAGTCATATTATTTAACAAATGCTTTGAGACTTGTGCTTTTAAAAAAAGAAGCTGTCTTCTCTAGCTTTTCCTTTCTACTAATTAAGCTGCTGCTTGGAGCGTTTTGAAGCATTTTGCCAATCTGAACCCAATTTGCTAGGGCAGGAGTGACACCATCTTGCAAATCAAACTGACATCCAAGGGGGCTGTGATTTCCTCTCGGCTCCCTCAAGCAGCAACACTGGAGCAACACAAGAAAGGTCTAAAAACAGATCTGGAAAATACTTCCAGAAATGATGTCTCTGAATTTTTGCATTGGCGTCCGACAGGTTCGCTCTGTGTGTATTTCCAGACTCTGTGCCCTCAAAATCCCTCCTTATCTGTATGCACAAAGGCAATACTAATATGATTTTAGGGTTTTTTTTTGCATCTTATGGTGAATAATTTTTCTGAAGCAAAAATGCCCAAAAATGCATACATAAATCTTTGTTTCCATATTCCACCTTTTAAAACTTCACTTTGAGTGAGATCCGCACAAAGCTATGAAAAAGCACATCTGAATGTGGAGTTGTGGGCATCTGTGCCTAACAGTTTTTGAGATTTGAGATGTTAACTGGCCCTTTACCAGCCCAGCTGCTCATCATGTTAGTGAAGGGCTGGGTTTCCTGTGGCTGTCTGCCTTCTTTCTCTCCCTTTTGCCTTTTTAGTTCCATGTTTCCTGTAAGAATAAGTTGTCCTACATACACTTTGGAGCTAGATGGGGAAACGGCATGTTTGTGGCTCGATTTCTTCCTTGCAGACACTTTTTGAGGATGCATTTCAGAGGGGTTTTGGTCAAGGGAACTTTGCGTTGCAAACCAGTCATCTGAATTCAGGGTAATATTTTGCCTTGTCTGTGGCTATCATGCAATAATGATGTTCCCCCTCTAGAACTACTTCTCATCTGCCCCCTCTCTGCTTTCTGCGTCTGCCCTGATGAGCAGTTTTGCCTCTGAAGTGGGCAAACAAGAAAGGAAAAAATGCTTTTGTGTCGGTGGATGATGCGAGTGTTGTCTGTCACGTTAACCAAATGCTTTCTGAGCCCATGGACTGTCCTGTCTTATGCATGAGGCCTCGCTGCTGCTAGCAAAGCTCTCTGGCTGTTTGCTGGGGTGCCTGCTATTAAATATAAAAAGTGAAAGTAAAATTTCATTCCCGAGAAGAAACCTACGGAAAACAAAGAATTGCTCACGTCCTCCCCCTCCTTTCCTGCCTCCAGCTGGAGCTGAAACCCATTTCCCTTTCCCTAGGCGCTTGATTCGGTTTACTTCACCGGCTTTGCAGAGACCGACAAGACCTTTGTGATTGCTCGCCTTGCCAGACGTCCTAACGGGATCTGTGAGATGTGGCTCTTCCTCAGGGTGGACGGAATAGGAGAGTTTGAAGTAAGTGGTGGATGTGGGAGGTCAATTCAGGAGCAGTGCTAAACTCCTATCTTCAACCTGTGTTAGGATCCCAAGCCAAAATTAATGTTCTCTGCATCTTCACGACATTAAAATCCTAACAGTAAGACATTGGTGCTGTGACTAAAGACTAACGCTTTAGAACTGGCCAGGTTACAGATTATGCCTAATTTTTTTAAGTTGGTATCTGACACTCATTCTCTTTTTCTCATAATGTGCACAAACCAGCAATTTTTTTCTAAAAAAAACCCAGTCTTGGTAAGTCTCCCAGGAAGAATTTGAACATTCAGTCTTTCTGATAATGCACAGCATGTGGTTAATAAGTTACATTGTATGGCTATGGTTGATCTCCCCCCCTTTTTAATGAGTGAATGCTATAAAAAACATTGCGGAATTGCCTCTTCTTAAAGAGAAAGGAGAGCTTTTAGAGAGTTGCATGTACATCTGCTTCATTCTTGCCAACAGGAAGACCGCATTAATCATATATTTTGCCTGTGGATTTTCTTTTTTGTTAATAGCTGACCATGTAGCAAAGAAGGAGGGAAGATCTGACATAAATCCCTTTGCGCTCAACTGTCTTTATGTTCGCAAATCCGTTTTGCTGAGTAGTCATGACCAGAAAAAGCAGGAGATGTCCTATTAACGGGATGCCCAGGGAGGTGGTCGAGTCCCCATCCCTGGGGGTATTTAAAAGCCGGGCAGACGAGGTGCTTAGGGACAGGGTTTAGTGGTGGGATGGCAGGGTTAGGGTAGTGGTTGGACTTGATCTCAAAGGTTTTTTCCAACCAAAATGGTTCTATGGTTCTGTGATTCTATTTGCAGAAAACCAAACCAGAGCAGATTGATGTGTGTTATTTGGTTTCCCAGTAACATTTACTACAACGACACTACTTTGTGTCTTTGTCATTTAGAACTGGCAGCCAAGCTGAGGACCTTCTTAGATCCTTCCCTACAGCAACAGGCATAAGCTCTCTTTCAGAAAGATGGCAGCTTTAGGAAACAAGACAAATTTTTCAAAGGGCAGCTGAAGAGCTTCGGGAGCTTGCACGTACTAGAAATGGAAATCATTTTAGAGGTTCATCAAATTCAGTCTCAAAAATAAATTTACCCCCAAAGCCTTGCATCAGCTTGGCTGTAAACTTGACAGAGTCACCAGGGTAATGAGCTGAGGTCCTGCAGTGACCTCCCTTCCCACAAGTAATTCAGTTGTATTATGTGAAACAATAATGTATTATCTTATAACTCCAGTGGTTTAGATGCGCTTTTCCTTCTCTAGTAATCTGGAATCCCTAGAAACATTCAAGACCAGGTTGGATGGGGCTCTGAGCAACCAGATCTGGTTAGCGGTGTCCCTGCTCCCTGCAGGGGGTTTGGACTAGATGACCTCTAGGGGTCCCTTCCCACCCAAAGCATTCTATGATTCTACGATTCTATGATGACCAGAAGCAGGTAGAACTGAAAAGGCAATTCAACCAAGTGTTCCTCCTGCAGAGCAGGAATTCACCCGCGTTGCATCCCCACAACTGAATTAAGCAAATGTTTTCCTTAAATGTCTTTTTAGCACCCGCAACATCCAAACATGATTGTGAGTGATGAATCTGAAGGGATTTGGAGCGGAGGAGGGCTCACTATTGAATACATAGAGCCCCAAAACCGCTGGAAAATAAGCTTCAATGGATTACTCAGGTATCGTAGCGCTCTATAGTTTCGTTTATCTACACTTAAGACTGAGGCTTTTTGAACGCTATCTGGAAATACATTTAACCGACTTGAACCAAAAGCTATTTGGTAGCAATAGCCCGCATTGATTTTTATGGAATGAAAACACGGCTAGTAATATCTGCGTCCGGTGTGGGGTTGTAACACAGCGTTCCTGTTCTGCCCTAGCACCCAGTAGCATCATTCTTCTGCAGTGTCTCCTATTGCAACGCTCTCCAAACACGTAGGAAACATTTTGCTGCTTGTTTAGGAGTGATACACAACTGTCGTGCTTTGCCTTACAGAAAAGGACCCTACCGGCAGGAGTGGAGCGAAGAGAAAGGTGAACTTGTACCAGTTAAATTCTCTTTCCAGTAAGAGCATTTCACTTTTGCTTTGGGATGTATAGCGAGTTTGTGGGTAGAGATTTGGTTACTGTTTTCAGAGGGTCATCTGCAAAGTAACGCATGAAGCTCTTGCTTCTGGTTTCTGTTTATGGACTCGATTTGTCTGAGAAAAAGTGACTTGCTGTCAAAATAGCACAGCATTTCTGCAGTGATGCTGCATTTGTACCTCTGAGCAGCTTGCAGGAGAGCAAGCAGCGTGCTTTCGCTTGCTTCCCTCCCTAGGGAATCTGTTGGCTCTTGCACGCCGTTGTTGCTCTTCTCGGTTTTCCTTTGTTTGCTTCCTTGAAAAGCAGTAACATATTTAAAATGATGAAAATCAGAATTTTCCAACAATGATAAAATACAAAGATTGCCATTGGCAGAGGAGCAAGTGCACAACTTGGCCTGGTATGACCCAAAAGCCAATAATGTCTTTTATTTTTTTCCCCTCTTTTCCTAGTTGGGAGAACTTCACAGAAGTCTTTGACTTTAGTACCGACAGTCATCCTAACGCGTTTGCAAATGCTTTTGCCCAGGAACCATGGACCATTGAGTTCTTCCAGAGGGTCAAAAAGTGAGAGGCAAGATCAGTTTCTTCTGGGGTTAATAGTAATTTTTCTACAGATTTCTCCACGGTCAGTCATGTGTTGGTTTAGGTGACTTTAGAAGGTGGGTTTAATCTGAAGTGAGCTGGTAAAGGACATGGGTCTGGTCAGGTGCCTCCTGGTTTCATTGCTACATGAGACCTGGCAACCTGTAAGGAGGACCCTGCATGCAGATGGGGTCTTCCTGATACACGGGTGGAGGGGCCTGCCCACAGTTTTGGTCTGTTAAACCTTGACCATTAGGAATATTTCTTATTCTGTCTTTTTTTCATTGCTAACCACCTGATTTAGACCTCTTCCAAAACCAATGGTAAGGTATATCTAAGGAAAGGATCAAATATAACCGTTTGAAAGGAGGGCTACAGTGGATTTTTTAATTACTATACAAGCTTCAGAGAGCTGAAAATACAGGGAAAAAATGTGAGTAACAGTAACGCGTTGTATAATACAAGCAGAGATTACGTGTATCAGCAGAGAGCTGTCTTTGGTGATACCTGCTCACTTCTAAGCAGCAACGGTTTGGTAGCACGGCATTTTTTTCAAACAAAGGGCATTTTTATAGTCTGTCACCGTGGGAATTTGCTGCTGTTTCATTCTCAGGTGCCTCATGAACATTATGTAGCAATAACTGGGAAATGTAAAAGTGGTTGCTAATGTGTAGCATCTGGCCTAGCCATGATCCAGATGCTCTGAAATCTCTCCTTCATTTTGGCATATAAGTCTATCAGACTGGCATCGGGGCCGCCTTGGTTTTGCCTTGTTGTTTGTGTTGTTTCACTCTTTTCTTTCTCGCAGGCAAAGGGAACAACATTCCCGACATGAGCAGTGGGGCCAGTCTGTTGGAGAAATTGAAATAGAAAATCATGAAAAAACAGAACTTTCCCTCAAAGGTGTTCGGAGCCACTCTTACGGTAACAGCACCGGGAACAATTCGCTCGCTTGGCTGCCTTCAGTAGAGGTGGCACTGGCAGGACAGCGGGACTAAAGATTGTCTTTAAAAATAACGAATTTCATGACTGAGCATGACATTAAGACATTTCAGAGGAAATACCATTTTTATGGCTGAACTTCACATGTTGTAACGCCCTGAATTGAGGCCTTGCAGTTACAGTTTCTAAATGAAGAAGAAACATGACGGCTTGCTCCTAAGGCACCCCCAGTCCTGGCATCGCTTCCTCCTGCTCTTCCAGCCCCTAAAGCTTAGCGACTGTGGCATGGGGGCTGAGGACCAAACCATTTCTTCACAGAAATTTCTTCACAGAAAGGGCTGTCAGGCACTGGAAGGGGCTGCCCAGGGAAGGGGTCGAGTCCCCATCCCTGGGGGTATTTAAAAGCCGGGCAGACGAGGTGCTTAGGGACAGGGTTTAGTGGTAGGATGGCAGGGTTAGGGGAACGGTTGGGCTTGGTGAGCTTAAAGGTCTTTTTCAACCTAACCGATTCTATGATTTGCCTTGCTAAGTGCTGGGACTCTACCTGAGCAAAGAGCTCCTCTTGTCCTTATTATCCATCAAAGGATACGTACCAGAGTACCGAGACCCAAGTAGGCATGAAGCCTCCCTGAACCACAAATCTCACCTTCCTCTCTTCACCTCATTAGAGGTTGATGCCCCTCAAGGCAGCAATATTCCTGTTTAAGAGGGAGATGGGATATAAGCTCACAGCTGGGCCAGTTGAGTGCAGAGATTCACGATGGAGAGAATTTGGTCCATTCATGTCTGGTGAGCTGCTGCAAAGGCATTGACACGTTTGGAGCTGTTAAAATGTTTTGGGATGTTTTGCTGGATTTGGCCAGTATGTAGACCTGTTGGCAGTCTGATTCGATGTATTACTCTGCTCCCCTTTCCATTAGGTCTTGAACTAATGGAAAAAGAGGAACTATTCCATTATTGATCTGGGGACATGCTTAGCCTGTTGTCAATTACTGGAGAGTTACTTTACTCAAAGTTAATGTCAAGTCAGGTACCCCTATTTCATGTTTTCCAGCAATGGTTTAACTTTAGGTTGGGTGATTTTGTTCTTTTTTTTTGCAGGTATCAGGAACTGGTCTGAGATTTACCGGTACGTCATGATTTTGGCACGCTTTGAGGTAGGTATTAACATGCCAATATGCTGCTTACCCATGAAAATGGAGGTGTTCCGAACACCTCATATTTAAATATCCAGAAATATGGCATTGGGAGCATCCACTGTGTGCAATCAGAAGTGCTAATTGGTGCCATCATTAGCACATACCAGTGTTGGAGGCAGCTCTCAAAAGCAGAGCCTTGTGTGTAAGAACTGAGATTTTGCTGCACTGGTTGAACCAAAAGTCGTTTTGTTAACTTGAAACTGTTTGTTTGGGCTTTTTAAAGAAAAAAATAGATAGCCAGCTTTACAGGATAGATTCTTGGCTGCCATGGGTACCCAGGGCTGCATGGAGTTGATGCAGCGCTGATTCACACTAATTGAGAGCCCAAGGTGTTTGAAGGCATCCTAAGTGTTCATGACAGCAGTCGGCAAATATTTCTGCCCGTGCTCAGCTCTAATCCCTGCTTTGCCCTCGTGGCTGTGCCGGAGGAGTGTCTGCACTGTGGCTGCTGGGAGCACGGAGCCTGGGGAAATGCTGGATGCTGGCGTTACCAGCTGGCATGCAACCCAAACAGATGCTTCTGAAACAGCTTTTCCTTTGCCGACGCAGGTGTAAAGAAATCTAAACTCTCTGTTACAGGCAGCTAGGACTGAATTCAGAACAAGAATTCTTTTCCCAGTTATATATGTTGGCCAGCACAAAAACATACCTTGGAAAATCCCACGTATGTGCAATGCAGATCCAGTAGCTGCTGTGATTTACCGTATGCCTGTGCTCCTTTCCATAAGACTGAGCTTTGGCACTGTTATGTGTATAGTCAGGTAGTACCCTCTCCCTTTTATTCATAGTTATCCAGGACTGGAAATAACTGTGGCTCTTCCTCTCCTAATTAAAAGCCACCTGGCTGTTTGTTAGGAAGGAATTAAAGTTCCTCGCTGATTGAAGTTTGGAGTCCTCATACCCTGAGTGTCTGTACCTATTTAACATCACAACGTAGGCTTATATTTGCCTCAGAGCAGCTCAAGTGGAGCGTGAAGGGATTCAGACTCAAGGATGGAAGAGAAATGAATAAAAGCATGAGATTCCAGTTCCTTCTTATTTAACATTTTTCCCATATGCTTCTCTCAGGCATAGAATAACGCAGGTTAAAAGAGATGTCTGGTCAAAGCAGGGCCAACTTTAATAGGTTGCCCATCAGTTTTGACCATGGCTAGCTGACATCTCTGCATGCAATGTTTCCCTCCTCCTCTTATGTCCACTTGCTGTGGACTTTCTCTTGTCCTTAATGTCTTTAATTTGTCCTTAATGTGTCTGGTTTACATTCTTGGACTCTCCTTTACAGCCAGATTTTCATGGAAGATGTCTTGAGAAGATTTAAAAGTATAAAGTCATAGCACACTGCATAACCTGGGTTATATCCAGTGACTTCTTGGTCAGTGTATGATCCACACAAATGAGTCCACACAAATTAGACTCCTTTTTCTTTATTGCTGTTTCACAGGAGGGAACTGCGGCACATTTAACGGTTATTAATATGCCAGCTATCACAACTAAGTAAGTAACCAAGGAAGTTTACGCTGCTAAAAACATAACATCTTAAAGCTGGCAGAAGTTGCTCTGTGGGACGCCTATATGCACGTTCTTGCTTTGAACTTGTATCGCCCAATTCCCATTCACACCCTCTTGCTGTCCTCTCCCCACACCCAATTTTCCATTTACAGTTAGTCACAAGGACAGCTTTTACCTTCAATTACTTCCTTCCCTTTCAGTTACTGTTTGGCTGATGCATCTGCCTGTCTTGCTGTCTAGATGATTTAGAGGTACAAATTGAGCACTACCAGGTATTTGGGAAGGTGTTTCTGTCTGTGATGGAGCATTACGCAGGGAGCCCTGCTCTGCTGTCTGCATCCAGAAGCTTAAAGACCAGCACTCATGGCCCGGTGACCAAGTGGAACCCAGTGACTCACCTGTCCCACCTGCCCACCACAATCCGTCCTGCAAGCCTCATCTCCTTCTCATCCCAGCTGGACAGGGTGCTGGGCCATCTTGTCTACACTCTTACCTAGAAAGGTTGGACCAGATGATCCTTGAGGTCCCTTCCAACCCAGGCTTCTCTGATTCTATGATTCCTTTCCTGGATGCATGGCTTCTCCCGCTCAGCATTTGCAATATCCCACAATATAATGTGGGGTTTTGTATTTATTTTGCTGCTTTCCAGGGATGACAGCCATGCTCAGCATTCAGCTCCCTTGGAAGGCCAATGTGCTGGGCCATTTGAGCTTTGCTTGAACTTTAATTCTGCTCCATTTCATTCCCCCTCAGCCTCGCTGTAGGTTATGTCTTTTTCCCGGATGGGAGGAAGGCTGGCATTGAGTGGTCCAATGCCTCGCTGACTAAGATGGCTGATGATGGTGTTATCAAGGATGAATACAGAGTCAGTTTTACTGCCGGTAAGCTAAATGCAGCCTGCCTGTATCTGCCTTCAGCTTTTTGGCATGCAGTTAATTTAGTGGAGGAAAGACGATTCAGTGAAATTCCATGTGATCTTTGGAGCAAATCTGAAAGCTGAACGCCTCATCTTACACCCTAAGAAATTTACTTCTGTGCTTAAGTCATACGTGTGGGGTGTCATCGGTGAAACGGGATGTGTGTCCGCTGCAGGGTCAGGGCCACGGGCAGCTGTATCAGGGGGAGAGCTATAGTTTCTATTTGTCATGACTGTTGCTTCTGCTAATCCAGATAAATGATGTGATTTTTCACTTTTTGGGTGTCAAGACATATGTTAGGGGGTGGATTCAGCTGCTCTGAAAATAGGGCTCCATCAAAGATTTTATTTAATTTACAAAGGAGACGGGAAAACTATTGCTCTTTAGGAAAGCACAAGAAGAAACCATATGCAAAAATAATAGATCTTGGGATTTTTTGAGATAAAATACCACTGAAGGTTGGGGACATTCTTCCCTTTTTACTCTCATGGAAGGTGGCAAGCACTTTGATGTTTCTGCAACGCTGGATGAGCAGGCTTGCCCCGTGGTGTATAACGGCCTGACTGGAAGCGGCGTTTTCCATGAGTGCATTGCAGATTTCCAACTGAACGGGTCAACACAAGGCTGGGGCTTGGTTGAATTCTATTACAGGTAAAATAATGACAGACAAGAAGAGGTAAAGAATTCCCATCCTCCTCTATTGACTCCTGTGGCTACAGCTCCATAGATATTTGAAGCATAAATGCACAGATGGTTTATATGATCTAAAGAAATGTTGTTCATTTAATGCTTAATGTGTTTATTAAATGGACAAACATGGTAAACGTTATTTGAAAAAGAACAACTGTGCAAGCAGACAAACATTGGGCACTTGTTCAGTTGTTTTTTATATAGACGTATGTTATGTAGGCTTTTATGTAGATCTCCATATAGGTTTATGACTTGGTGGGTAGTCCATTCTGGAAACCGCCTTATCTAGGCAATCTGTCTCATTATAAAACTAATGAGTCCTCTACCCCAAATAGCAGGCTAAGAGAGTGAAATTTGCTCACGTAAGTATGTGTCAGACTAGAGCACAGAAGAGATAAATGTTAATCAATTAATATAGGAATGCCTCTCCTAGGGGAAGGGATCGTATCAACAAAACACGTACTTCTCCGTGAAGTGCTGTTTCTCCTACCACGTGATTGTCACGGTCTTTTACTGGAGCCTTTTCCCTATTGAGTCTTTTCTCTCATGAAAAAAAGGCAAGTTTGGTTGTTTACATTTAGTTTGCTTTTTAAAATAATTTAAATTCTTGGCTGTCAGAGGAAATACCGTCGATGACTTTCAGAAGACTGAGAGCTCAGCTGCTTCTGAAAACCAGACCCATTTAAAGCACATAAAATAGTTCACTAAACCCCCAAACGCCCTCTGGTTGAACTTGAAAACCTTGGCCTGTTGCTGCTGCCACGTACTGGCTCCACTCCCCTCGCTGGCTGTCAAAACCTGTGTGGTGGGGGAAATGCCCCAACATGGAAAGTCTCCACTAAAACCCAAACGTGGCACCCTCTGCAAGTCCAGATGGTTCTGGACGTCTGTAGATCCACCCCAAGAAGACTTTATTTGGCAACACTGACAAAATTCACGTAGGTTCCCATCTTGTACCTGCTTCCAAATCAAAGCCATGTTAGAAATTAAAGGGTGGGTGTCTGGTTCTTCCCCCTCGCTGCAGAATGCCAACTCAGCATCACTGCTCTTCTTGCAGGGATGAAGCCTCCCAGCTGGTTCCGAATTTGCGGCTTGGTTCAGAAGCCGAAGGACCCAACCTTTCCTCCTGGTACCCATCGATTGACAGCTCTCCCCCATGAGCATTTGCAAGCTTGTACAAGTGACATTAGCAAGCAGGAGCTTTAAAAAAAAAATATGTTATTCCCCGCAAAATGCAGAGTTTTGAGTGTGGAACTCGTTGTCACAGGATGCTGCGGAGGTTGAGGGTGTAAAAGGATTTGGAGAGAAATGAGATACATTTTAATTGTGCAGGTCTTAGTGGTTGCTAATCATGATGGTCTGGAGGCAATTTGAAGGAAACCTCTGAACAGCTGACTGCAGGAAAAGCGCACTAGGAGGGGTCGCTTTGCGCTCTGTCTTTGGGTATTTTTCCTAAACTGCCAGCTGCCCCCCGCCGTGAAGACCAGGGCTATGCATATCTCTGACCCAATTGAGCAGTTCCTCTTCCTTTCAGATTCGTTTTTGAAATAAAAGCGCGATCTTTCTGAACCCTCTGGTTGTTATAGTCATTAAAAGATGGGAAAAAGCTATTACAGGGGACTACACTGCTTTGATAGTATTGCCTATAACTGCATGAGAGCTGAACTGGGAAGACGTAGGAGAAAGCACATTTAAACGAGGTGTCCTCTAGGAATAACATTAATGGCCAATGAAATAAGTGATACAAACACATTTTTCCCTTGTCTGAAGGAAAGCCAGGGTCTGGTAGTCTAATTTAGAAGACGTCCTGAATTTCTCATCATTCACTTGAACTTAGATGCCATATTAATCACAACATCCATGTTAGTCACTGGTAGCTGCTGGCCCAAGGTAACCTACAGTGTATTCCCTACCTAGATGCATTTTGCCATTAAGCACTGAAAATTAAACATACTTACGATAATGTCCAGAAAAAAATACTTAGGTGGAAGATGGAATTAAGGAAAGATGCCGCATTCTTTATACCAGGCAGCAACACTATGCAACGGCTGGGAGCATCCTAAGGATATGTTAGAGTAGTACCTCCACCCCATTGAAGAAAGTAGTGAAATCTGGGGGCATATATATATATATACATATAAATATATATAATTATATACATATACATATATATTACATATATATATATATATAAAATCTCTGCTTAGGTTGACACTAGAGGAGACTTCAATAGACTTTAAAGAAGACTTTCTGAGATAGTTCTTACTACTATAACAGCGTTATATGCAGAATAGGCGCGTGAATGTCAAAATATTCAGCCTATACATATCACAGCAATGACTGCATCTTCAAATTTTGGGATGCATGTCTGAACAAGGCTGGGATGATGCCAGCAGCAGCCTGATATGATGTAACAGGCTGGCTTTGGCAGCGGTCGCTTCTGCAGCCGCGCGATAGGGGTGAGAAATTCCCACTCCTGAATTTATAGCACCGTCCCTGTTCTGCATTAGTGCCTGCAAGCCGTACCCCACCAACCACACAGACCTGTGGTACGAGTGCCGTGCCCCTCCTTGCACCCCAAACCATCGGCTGGCTGTGCGAAGCAGACTTCGGCTGGCATTTCTTTTGGGATAGGCTTTGATTCAGAGCTTTGGGGTTTAGCCGGCCTTCTCCTATAAATACTTCTCCAGTTGCAGTGGTATTAAGAAACTCATTCTTGTGAGTCTTGCACAAATTTAAAGATGTCTTAAATCTGCCTGTGCGCTGGAAGTCTCAATGCACCGAAACAGGGAGCTTCTAAATTACTCGAGACAAAGGTACTTTGACAGAAGGGACAGCCTTATGCCTCTTTTTACACATAAGAAATCAGTTACATAGGTAATTTTAGAAAGGTTAGAAAAATAACTATGTTATACATCACAGTTTGATTCTACGAAGTATGTGGCTTCTTTTGCTATGATCTGGGGAACATCTGTTCCTTTTTTTTGTGGAGTTTTTGTCATCTCTTTCCATTTTGTTGGTTTTTTTTTTTTAATCCTTGAAGACAAACCATTAACATTTAGAAGAAGGAATACAGGCACATAATCAAGCAAGGTCTTTGGAGGTGTCGGAGAATGTAGATAATGAGAAAAATTGTTCATTATTACTCTGGAATGATGGAGAAATTTCTGTAAAATAATTCCCAGTCCAGGTTAAAATGAAAAATCTATCCCATCAAGGAAGGTATTTGTCTGGCTGTTTCTGACTTGCAGAAACTGGGGTACAACTAGGGACGCAAATAGCAGGTATCTCCCCCGCCTTGCAGTCTCTGAAGTTCGTGCTCCTGTGGTGGAGGAGGCAGAGGAGGATGACATAGCCTTCATCTCTCTCCTTTTGCCCTCCTTACTTGTTTCTTTTGGTACCAGCAGGTGGAGAATTAGAGCACTCTGGAGTTCAGGTTGGAAAAGTTCAAGCAGGGTACAGAAAATGATTAATAAAGTTTGGAGCTGGCAGGTTTATTTGCCAGGTGATGAACTACTGGTACGGTATTTCAGCTTGAGGGACTGAAAAATTGACTGTTGGGGGTTTTCTCCCTGGATTTCAAATTAGTTTATAGTGAGCTTATGTCCAGGACACATGGAATAACTTATTTAATTTAAGATAAATCTACCAAGCCCCACGCTTTGACCATATGAAGTGGTCCTTCTCTTGCGGCTCCTTTCTCAGTGGAAAAATCCATCTTGGGAAATGCTTCTGCAGCCCAAAAGCATTAATTTTGAGGAAAAAAAAAAAAAAAAAGCAGTAAATGGAGGTAAGTCCTGGCCAGAAGTGAAATGTAGCATATGATCTGCTCTCGTCCGGCATGAAGGGAGGCAGCTGGAGCCGCATCGGGATGAGCTTCTTTCCAGCATCTGTGTTTTGCACGTCTGGGAGGAACTGAACACCTGTAATTCCCGCTGCG